CATGAAGCTTTGCCTCATATCAAGTGAATACATGGTTAAATCCTTTCATTCTATGTTAATTAATTCATCATGACGTAATGAGGTAAAGGTGGGAGAAATTCTGGACTTTAGACATATATTCAAGTAAAATTTTCATAAGTGACTGAACTTGCCATGAAGTGACTAGATAAATTCATTTGCTATAAAAATTGTGGGTGAAAGCAGAGTTATAGAAAAATAAAGCAACAATAGTTTTTTACTTCCATAAGCAACTTCAGAGAAATGTTCCCAAATTTACTAGATTAGTTTCAAGAAACTTCAAATATATAATTATTTATATGAGAAAGACAAATACACACGGGGGGGACAGAGGGGAGAGAGAGATGAGAGGGAGGGAGAGAGAGAGAGAGAGAGAGAGAGAGAGAGAGAGAGATTTGCTTTATATGAGTATGGGAGATAACAAGGCCAAAATCAGCAAGGCCAGAAGGATGGAGTCCCAGGAGAAAAGCAGATGCTGCAGTTTCAAGTCCAAAGCAGTCGGAAGGCAGGCTTTTCCCCCAAAGTCTTCAGTCATTCATCATAAGGCCTTCTACTGAAAGGTAACCCTTTTCACTCAAATTATTCTGAATAAGACAATGGCAACATCAAGGTTTTGGTTAAACACCCACCTGAGTGATAATGCTTAGCTGAGTTGACACATAAAATTACTTGTCACAGTCAACATAAGAAAGAAGACATTTCAAGTAATTATGTGTAAAGAGTTTTTGGCCCCAGAAAATACCCTAACACTTGTTCTATATGACATAATCCATCACTTTCTGCAAGGCAGTGTTATGCGCAAAAACCAAACCAGACCTTTCAAGGATGTAACCTCTGGTTATAAGGAAAGCTGTGATTTAATATGATCTTTCAGAAGAGCCTGTTGCTGTCACTGTGTCTGTGGCTGATAGTGAGTTAGTTTTTTTTTTCTTCTCATGGTCTTCCTAAATGGATGAGCTCATGTTAAAATATTAACAGGAATGCCACAGGTGCCGTTCCATGGTCATACACAAACCACTAACTTTATGGCATTACTTGTGTAAAGTGTTAGACATAAAAGGTGACAAGGGAGACCCTCACTCAGCCTTCAGGAATCCTTTCTTTAATGAAGCTCAAAGCCAAAACAAAAATTTTTACCCAGGCTATGCATTAGAATTATATAAAGTCCTTAAAAAAATACTAATGCCTGGACCTCACCTCAAGTTACTCTGATTCAGTTAAACTCTCTACCTACCAGAATATGAGTTAGTTCCTTGTGTAATTTTTCATAAGAAACTAGCAACATGTGAACAATAGTTTATTATAGTAGATTGTAGGTGGTGGGATGTAGCTCAGTAGTAAAAGCACCTGCCTACCATTTGTGAAGCCCAGAGTTCAATTTCAAGCATGGACAAAAATAGTAGATCATACCTAGTGGCACCATATTAAATGTCTAGGAGAAGACGCTGTGGGACTGGGAGATGAAGCCCATTAAGTCTTATTATGGAAATTGGGACCACGTTCACCAGAGAGAACTGAGTTTTTGAATGTCTCAAGACCACAGAGAACTATTGCTAATAACATAACAACAACCAGAGGGCAATCGTACAGCTTTAAAAATGGTTGCATGTTTTCTTTTATTCCTTGAAAATTAAGTGAAAATAAAATGAATGCTTGTAGATATACTTGAATTTTTCATTATTCTCTTAGTCAATCTCATCACCACCTTTATTCTTGCAGAATTAAGCATTAATTTGAATTTGGTGTATCTATTACCAATTTATATTTTATGCTTTTCTTTTATATGTATGCATTCATGAAGTGCTTAGATATTCTTTCTTATAAAGATATAATTAATGAAAAAATGGAAACAAAGTCTTTGTAAATAGGGAAGGGTGGAGGGGGGTGAAGGGAGGGCAGGGATGGGGGAAAAATGAGAACCAAGACCTGTCATGTAAAAGTACAAGATCCCAATGATGAATGTAACTGTACTGTATACCTAAAATGTACCAATAAACTCAATGAGAATAAAAGACATAATTGACAAATTTGTAAGAATTCATGATATGCAATGTGATGCTTTGACGTATGTATGCATTGAGAAATGAATACCACAATGAAAGTAATTAACATATTTATCACTTATCATAGTTATCTTCTATTATTTGATTGAAAATATTAAAATCTCTTTCAGCAATTTTTCAGTATACAGTACGTTGTTACCGTCTAATGCTGTATAATAGATCTTCCAAAATGATTAGGATTTTTGTGTGGCTTTAAGTGATGTGAGTAGCATCATATTTTTTATTGCTCCTTATCCTATCTTTTACTAGACAAGATTATTTTTTGAGAATTTCGAGAAATATTCATGTTTAGACATATGGTTAAAATTCTTTAATTTTGATGTTTGAACGATATTATATTACAATTTAATCATTCATTCCCAGGCTGATAGTTCAGTTTTTTGCAGATTTTCCTTATTCCACAGTTACTGTGACCTTCCTGCTACATGTCTCTAAGTACATACATTCAAGTGTTTCTCTAGGATTTCTTTCCTTAACCTGGTCTGCACATTCAAATGACCTAGAAAATATTAAAGAACACACGTGCATTTCAGCTTCTATATAAAAGAAGTAGTTCATGGTAAGCCAGTGTTTTTATAGCAAACTAATAGAAAAGCCAGCTGAATCACTAAAATCCAGTTTTAAAGCACACAAAAGCCTACAAAAGTCATGAGAGCTAAAGGAAAAATTGCATAGAATAGAACCTTTTTACCTTCTACTAAGTATCTGAGATTTATGTTTTTTTCTGATAGGATTTTGGCAAATCTGGCCAACAGCAAGTTGCTTGTGAATCAATAAAGCATGTCAGCTTTTAGTGGTCACAGGAAAATGAAGTGACAGATCTGAAGAACTAGGGCAACTCAAGCACACAACCAAAATATTTCTCAAGAAATTTAATAATTTCCAAAGATGCAATGGGAAAGAGGCTCAGCAATTGATTAGAAATATCTCTGAAAAGCAGAATGGAATTCCCCACACCTCTCAGGTTTTAGAACACAAAACTCCCCAGGATGAATGTAATCATTATGTGTTGCAAACATATACTAAAAAATTAAAAGTTAAAAATAACAAATTCCGGTGGTTCTGCCACCTGCCTCGCAAGCACAAGGACCCGAGTTCAATCCCTGGTACCAAAATGAAATAAAATAACGAATTCAAGTGGCAGGATGTGGAAATCCTTGAAGAGAAGAATGACTTTTGAACAGATTTCCCTAGGGAAACTTGCCAATTAAAGCTGCACCAGATACTGAGAATCTGGGTGTTACCCCAGAAGATGTCTATGGAAGGAAGCTGATTATATACACATCTGGTGATTCTACCCCTGGATTTATAACCATAAGCAAGATATTTTTGAGAACTTTGTCACCAAAAAAAATCTGCTCAGCTATTACTTATATAATAGCTTGCAAACTATGAAAACACCAAATTGTCTATCAACATTAGGACAGATAGATGAAATGTGGTTGGTGTTTTTATACAACAACCACACAACAAACAATGAGACTGAAAAATTTGTAACTACTCACTACCCAGTGCTCAAGAGAAAGAACAAAAGAAAACGTCAGACACCTAAGATATAACCTGTATGATTCAATTTGCATAAAGATTAAAACCATGGAAAAGTGACTTGTGTTGAGTCAGGATAGCATCTATTACGTATTAGGGGTAACTTTAGGGTTTCTAGGGTGTGGATAATGTTTCCTTTTTGGTTCTGGGTGCCTACTACAGAGATATGTTCATTTTGTTAAAAGTCACTGAAGTAAATGCTTTTGACTTGTGTACATTTTGTATGTGCACCATACTACAATAAAAATGGAAAACTAAGGTACAACAAAGCAAACAAACAAACCTCTGCCTCCAGCGATTTGGTTCTATTAGTATTTTGGGGGACTGGTTTAGCTACCAGCAATCCACAAATTTTCATAGCTTTATTGAATAATTTTTTCCACTCTCAGCATTGACTCTTTTTGCTGATTTCTGCCTATTTTTATCTTGGTCTATGACCCATTTTCTTATTATTTTATGCGCATTTATTATATGGGTAATCATGTGCTTTTTGTACTAATTTTAAACACCTTATTGTTGTCTATAATTGTCTTTCCACTTAAATTGTGTTTATTTAATCAGAAAGATTTATTTATTTAGGAGGTCAAATTTTCTTATATTTTTCTGTTATGAGCTTTGAATATCATTAATATACAAATATCCTTCCTCATACACCATTTCATAATATATCTCACATTGCTAATGTTACAGGATTTTTTTACATTTCAGTGTCTAATCCATCTAGAATTTATTCTATTGTACAGCAAAACTTAAGGTATTTTCTCCACATGGTAATTCCATGGTCTGCCTGCTAGTTTAAATCAATCATCATTTTCCTTTATATTTTTATTCTAAATCTATCATATATTAAATTTCCATTTGTTTGTGTTTGTTTTGAGATTTCTATCCTCTTTGACTGGCTTGCATGTATATTAAAATTAAAATGTTACTTATCTTTTCTTTTTTGGGGGGGCTTTTTGAGTCAGGGTCTCACTTCATAGTTGAGACTGACCTGGAACTCACTATGTAGCCCAGGCTGGTCTCGAACTCACAGTGATCCTCCTGCTTCAGCCTCCCAAGTGCTGGGATTACAGGCGTGTGCCACCACACCCGGCAAAATGTTACTCTTCTGATTTATGTGATTTCATCATATTTCCCCTACCACAGAAACATAAACTTGTTATTTCTCCAAATTTTATTAATTATAGATTATTATCCCTTGCATATGAATTTTGGAGTCAATTTTACTATAGCTACAATAATTATTATTGGGAGTTTAAATAAAATATACTAGGTTTCTAAACTGATTTTTTTTTTTGAAAATTCTTTTTATACTATTTATGTCCAAATTATATTTACATATTATTAAAAGTGTCAAATATTCTAAGTACAAAGAAAGAAAGCACAAATTTCTCAAAATCACACTACTTCTCTCTGCCTCTTTTAATCCACCTTCTCTTAATTGTTTGCGCTTGCAAGGCAGGCAGTAGAACCACTGAGCTAATTCCCCGGCCCTCTATACTGATTTTGAGAGAAATTACACTTTTATAATACCAATATTATAATCCAAAATAAATAAATAAAACAAATTAGCAAGATGAAAACATTTTGGTGAAGGAAGTAGGCTTGTACAAAGGAGTTTATTTCACTCTTGTTTTCTCTCCTAAGTTTATTAGGACACAAAAGCTACATCCCTAAGCATAAAATCTCAGTCTGTCATTTAGCCATATAGCAGGAGAACCTAGCAATGGAAATTCTGGCAAGAACATAGAGAATTCTTCCAATGATTTGGAGGGAAGAAGGTCGAAAAGTTCAAATCTAAGCCACAACATTTGTATAATTTAACATTTTTTGATATTATTATTATTGAAATAGATAGGCAGGGCCTGCATCTCCACCATTCTCCAGAGGGCAAAGGCAAAGACATTTGTCATCTAAATCATATTTCCTGTAGTTAACTGACTCGTGGTAAATCTGAGGAATACACTAATATAGAACCTTCCTGTGCTTTGGATACTAATGAAACACTTATTGACTATCTCAGTGCTTAGTCACACGATTACCCTCTTCCACAGCCAGTTCTTCCAGGATTCGATCTTCTCCCCTGCACAAGGGAAGACAAGTGCAAGCCCATGTCAATCACCCGCACTACATTATTTATTTATTTCCCACATGCAATTACCCAGTGGGCTCTTTCCCAACTATACTTCTGTTGGGTCCATAACTTTTCCTAGAAAGAGAAGGCTTCTGGTGTTTTTCTCCAAAATCATAAACAGAAAAGATCTATCAAATCGGATAATAGGATGAAGGAGAGTGATTTCAGATTGATCCATGGATTTGACTTCAGAGATAGTGACATCGTCTGATCCCTTTTCACCAATGTGCAGCATAGCCTTATGGGCAGCCTGTAGTGAGAAAATAAACACTATTGGTCCCCTGAAGAAATAGCAACAGTTTTAGAAAGGATTTGGAAAGCAGGAAAGAAAAAGAAAGTTGGAGCTACCCCTTTGCCTTACTGTTCTGATGCTGTTTGAATATGAAGGATACCTGGCTAAGTATAGTTTATAAATCTCCATGATTTTAGGGCTAGTTTTAGGGAAGTACTATAGCTTGTTCTCCATGGCCTTTTGTTTCCAGGAGTGACCTCTTAAACACTCCCCTTTTCCAGAACTTTATGGCACCAGAATTACTTCGGATCACTAAGCTTTTCCATTAGAATCATTTTAGACTGTGAAGTGCAAGGGTGGAAGGAATTCTACAATAGCTTATTTGGAGTAATGGAAATGACCCTTGTGACACTATGATCTAGGAAGAGTCAGACTCCCTCTCTAGACATCAAATTCCTCATTGATAAAATTAAAGGGGTGAATTATTTGTCTCTAAATGGCTTTTCCAGCTTGTATAGTCAAGGGCCCTAATCTACCAACTTACATAGGAAAGTTTTAGACCGTTGTCATCTGTGAGTCCAGAAAAATCAGCATTGTCAGCAAAGGCATCTTCAATGCCCATCTTTAAAAGCATGATTCTAAGGTCATGTGTGGCAGAAATGGAAAATTTTGGAACAAAAATATTAACCCACCTGTAGGAAACAAAGAAGGCAAGACATGGCATTCACCGTAATAAGCTCGTGATCCTCTCTCTCTCTCTCTCTCTCTCTCTCTCTCTCTCTCTCTCTCTCTCCTTTTCCCTTCCCACC